TTTTCCCTCCGATGCCCGCTAGCGACAATCCTGACCCTTCTACCTGGGGCCCTTGCCCGCTAGCGACATACGCCCTAAACCTGTGCATCATTTCGACTTACGACATCGTAACAACATCGTTTCGACATCGACAAAAAATTCATCTAGCACTGGGTTGTGACTCTTTTGTCTCCGGCAGGTGGCGCTAACCGCGCTGTTTGTCGCGGCGCTCCTGGCGCCAGGCGGGGCGGGGGCGGCCAGCACGTACCAGCAGTCGGCCAAGGCGACGCTGGACTTTATCAACCAGGAGCAGGCCCACGGGGCCGCCGAGGCCTCTGCGCCCAAGGCGACGGCCGCGCCCCGCCCGGCCAGCACCACGCCGACGTCGGCCCTCCGCCGCCCCGGTGACAGCCAGCAGCACGTCGTCCCACTCCACCCGCCGAGCAGGCAGAACGCGACGTCCACTGCCCCGAAGAAGGACTGGGAGCTGGTGACCCCAAGGCAGGCCGTCATCACGACCCCACGCACCGCCCCAACCTACCGCCCGGTCACGCCGCCCAGCTACGCCGGCGTGGTCAAGGACCACGGGCACGGCCACGGCTACAACCACCAGGACAGGCTGCCCACCCTGCCCGCCACCACCACGCGCCCCCGGGTGTACAACATCCCCATCGTGGTCGAGGACCGCGGCAACTACACGACGACCACCGAACAGAGCCGATGGTACGACAAGCTCTTCGGCAAGGGCACCGACCTGGACGACGACAGTCCATGGGGACGGCGCAAGCGCCAGGCGTCCGAGAAGCCGGAGGGAGCGGAGAGGTCCGAGGTCGTCATCGGCAGCAACGCGATCACGGTTAGCGGTGGCCGCAAGCGCCAGGGCGCTGCGCAGAGCAGGCCCAGGCCTCAGCCCAACAACTAGAGTTAGGAATTATTATACTACCTTGAGGAAAATTAAAAATGCGTCTGTAGAAGTAAAGTTACTGTCGAATCAATCATGTTGATAACACCCACCCTCCTTTCCGCAAAGCACCATCGAGCAAAATCTATGAAAAGATATTTTTAAACGGTCAAGGGCCTATCACCCGGCAGCGCAAAAGCAACGACAAATAAATTTGGTATATTTGAGAATGCCCAGATCAGTTCTAACACTGACAAAGGAAATCGATCATAGAGTGCCGCTGCCCCTTCTTGTGAGACCGGTTCAGTCTGCCGAGCCGAAAGCAGACAAGCCTCGTTGCCTTGGAGCAGCATGGGCTGCCTACCCATTAGGCGAACGATGCGGGCGGCGATTGTAAGCTCAAGTAAAACACGATAATGTCATGATCTCAAGGGAGGGGCTACAGCCCATAAAATCAGACGAAACGTCACCAATAAGTAAGGTAATAACTCTGGAATTTGCGTATACATAAATAAATTTATTATTATAGCAGATAAGAGAGACTCATGGGGAAAACGGAATAATAGCGATTAGTACATGATCTTCTTGCTGACGTACATCTGGGACTGGGGCTGGGCGTACATCTGGGACTGGGACTGCTCGTACATCTGAGAGTCGTCCTCCTCGGGGTGGGCGGCGTTCCACTCCAGAGAGCGCTGGATGGCGACGGGAATCTCGGGGGCGGCGGGGGCGACGGGCAGGTGAGCGGCCACGGGGTGGAAGCCGAGCTCGTCGGCGACGTACTCCAGCTTGAAGTTCTGGCCCTCGGGGCTGGTCCACTCGTAGGAGCCCTGCACCTTGCCGGCGTCCTTCTCCAGGGCGGCCTGCTCCATCTTGGCGATGCCGTTGTTGGTCTTGAAGTGGTACAGGTAGCGGCCGGGCTCGTCCATGTCGAAGGACACCTCAACGATCTGGGCGCCACCCTCCTTAGTCAGGACCGCGCCGTGGGACTTGCCCTGGACCAACATGCGGGCCTGGGGGATCTCGCGGTGCTCCTCGTGGTGCTCCCAGGCGCCGCTGGGGACGACCATCTTCCTCACCTCCTTGGAGAAGAACTGGGGAGCGGCGGAGGCCGCGGCGACCAGGGTGAGGACGATCTGGGCAAGCATAAAAAAAGATTAGACCCTGCGTGATAAAATTCAGAAACAGCCTGTTGTGGTTTAAACACTTACCAGGAACTTCATGGTGATACTTGTGCGGTGGTCAGGTAGATACTGATGCCTTTCTTTGGGGATCGATACGTTTTTATACTCCTTCCGCTGTTTTTGAAACAATGGGCAACCTCTTCTTTCAGTGTCACAGTTCTCAACCTAACCCCCTCCACGCCCGCCTTACCAATATCATTCAGGTAAACCCGTTACCAGGCGTTGATCCATCTTCCGTTAGGGGTCGTCAATGTGACCTTGCTCGAAAGACTTTACGGTCATCAGTAAATCGCCATCGGCGGTATGTCGTGAGACGGCGGCCGCTTCCTTTTTTAAATAAATAAAAAAAACCCTTCCAGAGTCATGTGATAATCTGTTCGTCCGCATGTAGGTTAAACGGTGCGACACACTCCAAAACAATGTTATTGGCAGCGGAACGCAACCGTATAAATACGAGTGAAAAGGAAAGTCCATTATCATTCTCTCGCCGATCAGCAAAGAGCAACCATCACCATGAAGGTCCTGGTAAGTGTGACAGCTCCCTGCTGAGCGGAGAGGCGGTAAAACCACCCCGCTCGACCGAACAAATTTGGCTATTGTACCCGTTGTCTTCTGCTCGCCCAGATCGTCCTCGCCCTGGTCGCCGCGGCCTCCGCCGCTCCCCAGTTCTTCTCCAAGGAGGTGAGGAAGATGGTCGTCCCCGGCGGCGCCTGGGAGCACCACGAGGAGCACCGTGAGATCCCCCAGGCCCGCATGTTGGTCCAGGGCAAGTCCCACGGCGCGGTCCTGACTAAGGAGGGTGGCGCCCAGACCCTGGAGGAGTCCTTCGACATGAACGAGCCCGGCCGCTACCTGTACCACTTCAAGACCAACAACGGCATCGCCAAGATGGAGCAGGCCGCCCTGGAGAAGGACGCCGGCAAGGTGCAGGGCGCCTACGAGTGGACCAGCCCCGAGGGCCAGAACTTCAAGCTGGAGTACGTCGCCGACGAGCTCGGCTTTCACCCCGTGGCTGCTCACCTGCCCGTCGCTCCCGCCGCCCCCGAGATCCCCGTCGCCATCCAGCGCTCTCTGGAGTGGAACGCCGCCCACCCCGAGGAGGACGACTCTCAGATGTACGAGCAGCCCCAGTCCCAGATGTACATCAGCAAGAAGACCATGTACTAATTGATGTCGTCGCCTGCTGATCCCCGATATCCCGCCGTCTGTGATACCCTGAAATTTTAAATACATGTTTTGATATAAGTATTTATTGTTTTTCTTTTCGCTTGGAGGTATATTTTTTAATTGGTATGCCTTACTTTACTCTTTTAGTTATGCATACAGTGGGTATGGTGCCCTAAAGCCACACATTTTGTCTGGTTATAGTCCGGATGCAGGCATGCGACTTAATTGCATGCACGCGCGCGGTCATAATGCGCCGTGGGGAGGGTCTGTAGTCAAGCCTGTTTGCATACGTGCATGCGGTACAGTCTAACTCTGGGGCGAATCAGTGACTTGCTTCGACCCCTTTCCTTGGTCTTTACGAAGCGTTAGCTCCGCCGTTCGGGTAGGCAGCCATTCCTACTTTCCCCAGATGTTGCCCGCCCGGCCTCGTTCTCGGGGTGCGTGTGTGTGCATTGGACAACAAGGTGACAAGCCCTTCTGTCCAATGGAGTTGCCAGCCTTACTTTGCTTTGCCGGCATCCGCGCTCGGCAGAGTCTTGGATGGCATGGTCTGGCAGTGGCGTTTAATTTGCTCCTTGGACATAAAGAAAAAGTGCAAAGGTTGTGCCACGTGACTACAGTTCACCCTTCTGTTTAGTTAAAGAAATAAAAAATAAGCGCAGTTTTTAGCATGTATTGATTTTCGGTCAATCATAGAACTAGTATAATTTCCATTGTTTGAGAGGTGTAAAGTAATCTACCTTTTGCGCAGATGCTGTTGAGGATACAACACATCCGAAGAAGAGTTTTGATTCAGAATGTCCTACTACCTCTACCATATCGCGATTTTAGGCAACCTTTCACGACTTAACGTTCACGCACGAGGCCCGCTAGCTTTTGCAAAGCAGAATGATGGGCTAAAATATGTGATGCAAATAATAATAACACGGCTAATTATTTTTACAACAAATGTCATCACGGGCTTTAAATAAATTTTCGTGAAATGACGAGAAATCCGCGACACAAGATTGTCGTAGAGTGAAGTTATCCATGATATTGGTCCGACCCGTCGCCCATAATGGCTCAGCAATAATGTGACCGGGCTTACGGAGCGCATTACGCAACCAGAGTAATTACACTGGTACATTGTGGACAATGGCCTGCGCCGCGAGAGACCGCTGCCCACGGCTGCGTCCGACTGATATGACAATGACGGCGGCGTGTCGACACTTTGTACCCTCGCCTCTTCCAGCCGCGGGCCCAGGCACCCCCCGCGGCCACGAGGGGCGGTGAAGGGACGCCGCCAACGCAGCCTCATAGAGGTGAAGTGGTGCACTGTGCATCGTAACGCTCTCGGCCGCGTAGTGCAGGCGCCCGCCGGTGTGCCCCCGGCCCCGCCTC